CCCCCCACTCACCCCTCCCCCCTGTCCCCTGGCAAGACCATAATCGCCAGCTAGAGAGGACGACCGGAGGACGATGAAGTGCCCGCCGCCTCAAGCCCAACACTTGCAGAGGAGGACAGGGAGGACACAGACCGACAACAACAACGACACTCAGAAGTTCGGCTGCTGCTCATGATCTCCAGATTGTCCGCAGTAGTCAGACAACCGCACCCTCCTTGACCCTCCACCCTTCTCATTCGGAGCAATGCTCAGCCGGGCGAACAAAGTGAAGCAGTACACCACAGTTACTTAGTTCCTGTCTCCAATTCTCTCAGCAGCAGTTGGATTCCAACGGGATTTATGGGCATCAGGTCTTGAACCGGCACCCTCTGCCACAGGAACCACTACAACCCTTGGAGGTGTTATAAAAACTGGATCCATACCGGTACTGATATCCAGCCCATCCCCAGGGCTGTAGTGTCCTTGAGGACTCAGCAACACACGCACACTCCGTTCACATAGCACACCAAGGCTACTATACCTGGTCACCACGGCGGGACTTCAACTGCCCGCAGGTTCCACAGGCGCATTTCACAGTTGGATTCCAACGGGATTTACGGGCATCAGGTCTTGNCAACTGCCCGCAGGTTCCACAGGCGCATTTCACAGTTGGATTCCAACGGGATTTACGGGCATCAGGTCTTGAACCGGCACCCTCTGCCACAGGAAGGAAGTCTCTCAGCAGCAGCCTGGGTACTGGGTACTGGGTACTGAGTACTGGGTACTGGGTACACTCTCACACATAGTGCTCTACCAGGTATACAATGGACCGACCTAGGCTGATGTGTGTGAAATTACTGATCAAAGTATGGGAGGGGGTAGAGGAACAGCGGGCTTGCCTGCCTACATGATCTGGGGATTCGGCCATTGGGGATAGCACCGGGCTCCAAGACTCACACATTTCCAAGTTCTCTTAGTGCTAACCACAGGAATAGTCCACACTATCACCCATCTTATGCAGTCATGCAGGCAATCAATCCAGGCGGCTGGGCAGGTCTACCGGCTCAACGTATTTTTTACTATTTTGTTAATAAACGGACTGGTTAATGAAACAAGTCCAATGTCCAGGGACGCTGGACTAGCTTTTGACGAAAGGACCAGATTCACCGACCAAAGCATGGGAGCGCGAAGGGGAATGGGAGGTCTGTTTGCCTATCGGAACTGGGGGTTCAATCATAGGGGATAGCATCAGGAATCAGGATCCAAGACTGAGACAAGGAGGGGGCTTGCTGCTGAGTGAAGGGGGACAAGCAGAACACTACACGTAGTTAGAATCTGCTCCCAGCTCTCTCTCTTTTTTCTTTTTTTTTTGTAAAAAAAAAAAAAAACGCCAGTGTTAGTGCTGCTGATAAGGGCAGACACTTGGCAGCACCCATAGGTTGTTAAAAAAAAAAAAAAAAATCCTGCAGATCTACCTGTTAAAATTGCTTTCTTTTCCGACACACCCTGCAGATTCCTGTCAGTACAGGCACATGTCTTTTTTTTTTTTTTTTTGCACACAAACAATTCTGATGTCCAGGGACCGTGTGGACCCATTTTCCCAGCAGGTGCTGGTCCCCACCACCGAAATAGATGGTGCGCCTCCCCGGGGGCAGTTCTAGCGGTGTCTCTGGTTATATCAGCACCCTTCGCATTAACCCTGGTTGTTATCAACAACAACAACAACAACAACAACAACAACAACAACAAAAAGAAAAAAAGAAAATAAAAAACGGCATCCTCGCGTTCTGCATTTGCTACAAGTGGCAATGTTGCACTGCTCTCCCCCCTTGCTTTCTTACTCCTCTCTCCATTCTTGTCTGTCCCTGCAGGCACTGTCCGAGCAGGAGCGCCGGCGCATAGATGCCGAAAGAAGAGTTGCGGCTTTAGAAAGAGCCTTTTGCGAGTGGTCTCGGCAACATTTTGGAGCTCTGCGGACTGCATTTGTCAGTCCTATGTAGCTGTGCCCAACATGCAATCAATCTTAACCGACTCTGCATACAACGACTCTCCGCCGTCTCTGTTTGTCGGTCCTTTTTTTCAGCCACAACCACCAGCCCATCAAGACTCCCAGGCTCCCAGCCATCTTCATTTGCCCGGCCATCTTACGTCTTACTTGGCGGCAACCGCCAGGCCATTAATCTCAACTCCCTCGATGATTGCCTGCACAAGTCCCAAGCGGAGCGCTTTTCGGAGCTGGGTGTTCTGCGCCCATCCGTACAAAGAGCAGCTTCCGGCAGATCAAAGGTTCCGACCCCTGACAGTTTTGCTGGACAGCAGCAACCAGCAGCAAGCAGCAGCAACCAGCAGCTCAAAGGTTCGAACACCCTGACAGTTTTGACGGAAAGGAGTGACCGGCAAGTCTTGTATGATCCGATTTGCGGAGTACTTTTTCTGAATTCTATTTGTATGCGTAACGGAGTCGGTTTGCATCTGGTGTATCTTGAGTGCTTCCGTTCTCATACTGGGTCTGTCTTGCCGGACAGTCTTGTCTTTTCTTTTCTTTTCGAACACCCTGACAGTTTTGCTGGAAAGCAGCAACCAGCAACCAGCAGATCAACGGTTCGAACCCTGACAGTTCTGATGAAAAGGAGCAAGCAGCAACCAGCAGCTCAAAGGTTCGAACGCCCTGACAGTTTTGACGGAAAGGAGTGACCGGCCGGCAAGCAGCAGGTCTAAGAGCGGGTCCACGGTTCGCACCCTGCAAGGTTGATGGAAAGCAGTGACCGGCAGCCAGCGGGTCGAAGGCTCGAACCCTCCTGGTGGCAGCCACAGGGTCCAACAATCGCTATCAGAGGACTGCAGTCTGCATCCCTCAGTTGGTTGTTGTTGTTGTTGTTGTTGTTGTTGTTGTTGTTTTTGGTATCCCTCAGTTGTACAGAGCAAGCTATAGACAAATGGTCCTGCTCTCTCAACAAGCCCCTCTCTGAAGGAGCCCCTTTCCAAAAACGAAAGAAAAGGGCCCCTTTCCAGTCTGATAGTATGTCCTATATAGAGGTGTCATCCTTCAGTACTCTGTGCATTATCCTGCAGTCCTATGTACCTGGTCATGCGAAGCGTCCAAGTGCACAATCGGACAAAACACTTGGTTTGGTTTTGTGCTTGTCCGTGTTTTGTACATATTGCATGGATTGTCATGATCACTGCAGTCATTTTCCTCTTCCTTTTTTTTTTTTCTTTTTTTTTTTTAATAAGCCGGGAACCGGGCCGGGCCGGGCGTCCCTTGCAAAATTAGCTGGGGCCCTCAGTGGGCAAGGCATCACCGGCCAAGCACATCGAGGGCACCACGAGATTTCAACCCATAGTCAATTCCACAGCAACTCTACAGCCCCTACTACGGCAAATCAACGACAATTATTGCCTAAATCTAAATTAAATCGCCAAAAAATTCTAATCACAAAAATCCTGACAACCCTAATTAGTGACCCAAATTCCACTAATCATGAAAAGAAAACCATATGCAAAAGGGAGTCAAAGCCACAGAAAGGAACCAGCATTCAGCGCTACTTAATCATGTCCTCTATAATTCATCCAGAATTACCACCAACCCTTGCCAATCCACTCTGCCACCCGTGCGGCAGGGGTCTGTACCCACAGGCCCCAAACTGCTGACAGAGACCCCGCGAACCCACCCACCTCCTCGCGATTCAAAGCGGATAGCACCTCCCCACACTCTTCATACGGAAACACCAACTCCCACCACGATGCTGTTTTCACAAACCAGGGATTCACCCCACCTCCCACGCGGCACAGGGGCCAAAAAGCCCCGCAAAACCCACTGCACCCACCTCCTCGTCATTTAGGGTAAGTCCCTCCCTCAATTCTGCATACATTTTCCTCTTCTCCCCCCCCTCCCCCCACCCCCCTGCTTTCTCTTCTTGCTTTTGTGAAGTTTTGTCTTTTTCCTCCCTGCTGCATTTGACTGACCATGCTTCTGAAAGGGGGCAACCATTTTCTTTTTTTTTTTGCCACCAGTACTTGTGACGCTTTCTTTTCTTTTTTTTCTTTTTTTCTTCTTTTTCCTTCTTTTTTTTTTTTTTTTTTTTAACCAACAGCATGCTTTCATTGAGTTGAGAATAGCGGCCGGGGAACCTCACAGTACCCCAGTAGAACCAGTTGCTGGAAGCATCATTCAGCTTAGCTTACAGGGAAAAGCCCCTGCGGCACTCCCAAACAAGGACCGCAGACCTAGCTAAGGCTGCAAAACGGGTCCACGGAGAGAGCCGCGACTCCTACCTATTCTACTCACCCTACGGTGCGTAACCTAGTCTGCGACTAGTCTAACGGAAAAAAACCGTAGTCGGCGACTATTCTAACTGAAAAACCTAGAGTTAACCAAAAACTATCCTACCCTACTCGGGCCTAAAGCGGCCCATCATGTCCTACCCCCGGCCTAAAACGGCGGGTGGGGGCTAAAACAGCGCCATTCTGCGGGATGACCCATCCAGCCCCACTTCCCCCGTTCTTCTTCCCTTCTCCTCCGAAGTACAGGCCCGAGCATCCAGGCCCCTCGTACCATAAGCTCGGGACCCTACGGTGCGTAACCTAGTCTGCGACTAGTCCAACGAGCCACTTCGAAACCACCACCTTTTCCCTTTCTACCGTGGCCAGCCGCTGCTTCCTGGCCCCCAAGTACTGTGGAACCAGGCCCGGCCCGCAGTTTTGTTCCCGCCTCTTGATACTTTTTTTTGTGCCAGTCATTTCAAAAAAATCACCTGTGCCCTTATCACCTGTGCCACATACAACCACTCCTCCCCTCGCTGGGAGCTGATGTTGTGTGCACCAAACAAAAAAAGGAACCAATCGTCATCCCAGACAAAATCAATTGTTGCAGATATCTATCGAGCGAGACGTTTGGAGAGCGGACAGGTCAGCCCGGCCATCTACACCATTTACAAGTCAGACTTAAAACCACGCCTCTGCTGCTAACCCACTCTGCCGAGGGTGTGACCACAGTAGGGAGAGCAGCCACAAGAGAGAGGAGAGATGCTATCCTTTGTGACGGTATAGCGATCAAATTGACCCATCCCTCAGCCACAAGAGAGATTTGAGGGTTCCGCTGAGTCTCTATTCAGAGTCAGAGACCAGCGGTTGGTGGCCACAGCAAAAAAAGAGGGGGGAGAGAGGATTGATTGTGCCTCCTTAAATCCTCTTGGAGGGGAACAGCCTGACAACCATAAGCTCGGGAGCCTGCGAGCACCACATAGCCGGATCTAATTTGAGCGATCTCACCAGCGTTCCTCTCAGACTGTTCCGAACCACACATGACCAGTCCCCTCTGTCATCACATCACAGTTTTCCTGCACCCGGACCTGTATAAGTTGGCCCCCCTCCCCCCTCCCCCCCCCAGCGGTCTACTGGGTTCTGCAGTGATTCCTCATCATTATCTACAGTCAGCTTCCAGTAAAAAACCGTCGTCCGTCCTGCAGTCGCTTGCTCTCCGAGTACCACGTCCCTTGAAGGTCGGCTGGTTTTGCGAAGAGCTGGAGGTCTTTCCATGCGTCCGGAACTGCATCCCTTAAGCCACCAGTACCTACCCGCATTTTTCGTACCCCCTGGGTTCGAATGAATTTGGACCGGAGGGGCAGGCCGATTCGGCTGCCGCGTTAACGGCCGCCCCAACCCGTAGGTACTGGTGGTTTGATAACTGAGCTCTGATTACCACACGTCCTTCAACCTGCTCAATTGAACTTCAGTCCTTCGTCGTCCAGCCACCTACCACAGATCTCATTCCATATACCCGCCACCGCAAGGACCCCTGTTTTTGAATCCGAACCCTCCCAAAGCCGTGTGGGCCAGAGTCCGCTGCAAATGGAAGACCATTGGCATCCAGAATGAGAGGATTCTCGAATAGTGGTTTGCTCAGAACTTCACCCTTTGTCACAGGAGTCGCCCACAGTGTCGGCTTTTGATTTTCTTCCAGGCAAATACAGTTATGTCATGCCAAAAGACTCATTTGATATGTCTGTTTAAACCACCAGTACTTCGTAGAGTCGTGCCCATTAACGCGCCATGATTTTAGGAAACGTACGGGCTACTACAGGAGCGCCCAAATTCATCCGACTAGAAACTTTTCTACTCTATTTTTTTTTTTCCACGGCCTATAGCTGGGCCAAGTACTGGTGGTTTAAACCACCAGTTCTTGGCCCAGCTATCGATGCCGAGCCTGGAATGCCCCTGTGCGCCAATTTTTGCCGAAGCGCTGGGGTACTGTTTTAATTTTTTTTTGGCTGGCGCTTCCAGCCATTGCCGTCCGGTACCTCGAAGGGCCAGTAAAGGCGCGGCGCGTTAACGGGAAAGCGCCGCGGCCGATAACTGGACCAAGCACTGGTGGTTTAAGGAGTTCAGCATGCAACAGAGCCACGCATCCTATTCTCTAGGAATATCCCACTCCTCTGCTAGGATGACTTTGGCCATGAACTCTCCAATGGTCATCAAACTGACAACTCGGACGCTGGACCCGGTTTCCAGCAGGTGCAGCTCCCCACCAATGGAACGCAGGCCCTCGCAAACAGGGTGCATGGAGGGGGTGTCTGCTCTTATCAGCACCTCCCCCACGCCTGTCAGCGATGTTTCAAAAAAAAAAGAAAACCCCCGCCTTAAAAAAAAAAAAAAAAAAAAAAAAAAAAAAAAAAAGGTAGAAATTGCCGCCTTGATCAAGCATTGGACCAACATCATGGTCAGGTTCTGTGTATATGTGGGTCCAGTAGGTCATGGCCTCTCCATCTTTCCTTGAAAAACAAATGTGTCCCAGCCAACTTTTCAAAATAAACCCGCCCGCTGTCCACCTTTCTGAATGATTTCCATGGAATCTCTCGGCTGACCTTCGAGTTGTTGTTTAGACAAGTTGTTTCTTAAGTAAAACGAGCGTTTCCCACAACGAACCAGACCAAGGGGGAAAAAAAGTGTGCACTGTTTACGACTACTAAGGGTCTCGTTAGACACTCCTAAAAGTGCCTGTTTGTAGGATTGCGTCTTGGTTGCACCCAGTCCTAA